TATTCTTAATGTTGTCTTCTTGGTTATTATTTTGGGGGGCCACGCAGACCCGTCAGATTTTTAAGGGGGCCTCGGTGTTACTGAGTTTGGGAATGGCTGATATAGACGATTGGTTAATACTGGCCTCCTCCAGAGAAGTGGCTGTGAGTCACACACACTGGGTCCTGTCCCACATACAGCGTCTGGGGTTTGTGGTGAACAGAGAGAAGAGCAGGCTGCATCCGGCTCAACGCTTGATTTATCTCGGCCTGCAGCTGGACTCGGTGAGGTTCAGTGCTGCATTGTCCGAGGACAGACGGAGGAGCATCACCCGTCTGGCAAAGGAGGTGCTGGCGGGTCCCAGGGTCCCCGCATGGCGCCTCAGATCCCTTCTGGGGATGATGGCGGCGGCTCATACTGTGGTACGGTTAGGCCTCCTCCACATGAGAATGTTTCAGAGATGGTTCTCACGTCTCAAGCTTCACCCCTCACGGGACGGGGGGAGGCTGATCTGGGTTCCCCAAACTGCAGCATCGGACATCAGGTTTTGGCTCACTCCGGGTCTGCTGCGGACCGGGGTGTCTCTGGTCAGCGCCGTGTCTCACGTGGAGGTGTTCACGGACGCGTCACTCGAAGGGTGGGGCGGAGTCCTCGGTCAGAGCTCCGTAGGAGGCTGCTGGTCGGACTCAGCCCGCCACATCAACCTTGTGGAAATGGAGGCAGTGCACAGGGTGCTGCTGCACTTTGTCCCACAGCTGCAGGGGAGAAATGTGATGGTTCGCTCAGACAACACCACAGTGGTGTCTTATCTGAACAGACAGGGAGGCACCAGATCCCCCGCTCTCCATCGCATGGCGCCGGTGATTCTGCTATGGGCAGAACTTCACCTCCTGTCCCTAAGAGCACGCCAAGTCCCGGGTGCCCAGAACGTGGGGGCCGACAGGATGTCCAGGGGGGGCCCACTCCAGGACGAGTGGGGCCTGGCCCCGCGGATATCTGCAGAGATCTGGCGGAGGTTCGGCCGTCCAGGGGGTCGACCTTTTTGCCAGTGCAGAGAACGCACGGTGCCCATCCTGGTACGCCTTAAGGGCCGCGGCTGAGCCGCCCCTAGGGGTGGACGCCATGGCTCACTACCCGTGGCCAGGGGGCCTGCTGTATGCGTTCCCACTAGTTCGTCTCCTGCCGGTCCTGCTGCGGAGGATCGAGCAGGAGGGGAGATCGGTGATCTTGGTGGCTCCGGACAGCCCGCATGCCCGGTGGTTTCTCTTCCTGAGGGGCATGTCGGTGATGGAGCCTTGGGCCCTCCCGGACGAGCCGGGGGCTTTAGTCCAAGGGGGGGCCCTGTTCTCACGCCCGTTTATCGGCGGCAGGCCCTGGGCTTGGAGGTTGAGAGGCGGAACCTCGTAGACCTGGGTCTTCCTCCGGCGATGGTGGAGACCATTCAGGGGGCGAGGGCGCCGTCCACGGTGAGAGCCTACGACACCAGATGGAGGCTCTTCAGCGTCTGGTGCAGTGCTCGTTCTTGGGATCCCAGGCACTGCCCCTTGGAGGGAGTCCTGGGCTTTCTATAGGAACTCTTTGAAAAAGGGAGGGCTGTCGGCACCCTGGCGGTGTTCGCGGCAGCCATCACCTCGGGTCACGGTGGCTTTGATGGGTTCACGGCCCGTTCACATCCTTTGGTGAAACGTTTTTTGCGGGGGGCCCGCAGGAAGAGGCCCCCGCTTCAGAGAACGCCCCCAGTGTGGGACCTCAGAGTGGTCCTTAGGGGTCTGTCGGGCCCGCCCTTTGAACCAGTGTCGGAGGCGAGTCCCGAGTGTGTTGCTTTTAAGACTGCCCTCTTGCTGGCGTTGGCGTCTGCTAAGAGGGTGGGCGATTTGTGTGCGCTCTCCATACATGCGTCTTGTCTGTCCTTTGGAGAGGGGGACGGGCTGGTAGAGTTGTGGCCCAATCCGGCCTTTCTCCCTAAGGTCATTACTTCGGCCTTCAGGTCGAGAGTGATCAGGATTAGGGTTTTCCATCCGCCGCCGCACTCCTCCCCCGAGGAGGAGCGACGGCACCTGCTGTGCCCTGTCAGAATGCTTAGGCGTTACCTGACCTTGACATCTTCCTTCAGACTGGTGGATCAGCTGTTTGTGTGTCTGGGCCCCAAGAACAGAGGCGCCCCGCTGTCGTCTCAACGTCTGGCACACTGGGTCGCTTCGGCTGTACGGATGGTGTATCAAGCTCAGGGCCTGACGCCCCCGGTGGGTTTTAGGGCGCACTCCACGTGTGGAGTGGCGGCTTCTACGGCCCTCCTCAGGGGGGCTTCGGTGGAGGATGTTTGCCGTGCGGCTTCGTCCTCTTCCTTTGTCCGGTCTTACCTGTTGGGTGTGTCGGACCGGTCGGTGGCTCATTCCGTGCTTGTTGCAGCGGACTGATTGGAATCATGGGTTCTTCGTCTATGAGATTACGGTTTGCCCTTCCGCCCTAGTTCAGGAGCTCTTGGGAGAGGCGTCCTGTAGGTACGGTGTTAGGGGTGTTGGTCAGTTGGGTGGTCCGCGTCAGGAGCTCTTGGGAGAGGCGTCCTGGGACTACGGGTGACTTTTGGTCGGTGTTACTTGGGGGTGTCCTTGGGAGGAGCGGCCCCGTAACACGCTTGGATTTGGTTTCTGTCCTGAGTCTTCTCACTGTGTGAGGGTCTTGCTCGGACGGGGCTCCAATCACTCTTCGCTGGCCTACTGGGAGTACATGTTCCTACGGCCTCCGCGTTGTGTCCCACTAGCAAAGTCCGCTAAGGGACGTAGCACCATGACGTAGAATTAATAGTTACCTAATGTAACTTAAGTTCTACGAATAGGTGCGTAGTCCCTTAGCTACAAGCCCATCAGGCCAGCCCGGCTTGGCAGAGTTCAAGAGGGGGTGCGGCCTTGTGCAGGGGCCTTTATAGAGGAGGGTCGCTAGTGATTGGAGCAAATTATTTTGATCTCTCTGGCGTGTGACCTGGGGGTCCCGTGATATCCCACTAGCGAAGTCCGCTAAGGGATGACGCACCTATTCGTAGAACTTAAGTTACATTAGGTAACTATTAAAAACGTACATACGCGCTGGAAATACACTGCCAAGATGAAAAACCGTCAATTTGAGTGTTTTAACCAACAGCTGACGGAACAAAACAAAGCCGATAGACAAATGTTTTAAGTGGTCACAATATGATTCATAAACAATGTTGATAAAACGTCGAACGCTGAAGAGGCAAACATTAGCTCACGTTAGCATGCTTATCTCAACTGCTAGCTTCCACGCCAGGACTCATTTACCACAATAAACGTCCTGTAGCTACTAAAACCTGATGGAGTCAAAATAATAAGTCCATAAACTTGCTCTGACAACAGCTCAACTCCACCACAGTAAAAATACATACATTGGCCAAACTAAATCCATGTCAGCGTTGTATCACAAGTTACAGAACAGTAGGAATGAGGAGCACACAACACAAGATAAGTCAGTATTAAGTATCACACAATCTATCCTTAAATAAATAATGAACACATATCTCTGGGTTGTCCCACAATTGCACTCACAAACACATCCCCCTGAACTATTGAACATGTTTTAGAGGTAGGGGAAACCAGAGCACCTTGAGAAAACCTACGCAGACACGGGGAGAATATGAAAATTCCGCACAGAAAGGGCCTGTCTTAAGGTGGAATTGAATCTCGGACCTTCTAGCTGTGAAACACAAGCACGAACCACCATGCCACCTTATTATCCAGAAATATGAATACCGTGATAATTCATATGCAAAAGACCAATACAATAAAGACACATATTGATAACGTCTACAACCGTCATGAAACCAAGAGATGAATGATAGAAACCAGAAAATGGGGTTAAAGCTGGGGTACATAAATATGACATTATTTTTGCCCCAATAGAAAGAGAGTAAAGTAAAATGGTGTGAACAAATCAGGCCACAAAATACTGCATAGGTCTTGTTAGGAAACATGGTATCTTTTGCATTCTTAGCCAACAACACTGGGCTGAGAGCTTTTTGGATTTGAGTACTCTGTAATATTGCATACATAACAACATGATTAATGTATGAATGTATTTGCGTCTCGGAGCTCAACATACAAAGACACTCCAGGCACGAGAGCAGGCTTGCCCATGATTCTCGGGACCATGTAGAGCATGGGTGTCAAAGTTGAGAATGAATTGAATTGAATGAATTATCTTGGCCCCTGGGATGTTTTTTAATTATTATAAGAACCGGGCGGCACAGAGCTATTATAAAATATTGGATTACTCATTTAAAGTTCAGAAAATGTGTTTTTCTCTTTGAAAGAAGTTTTTTTTTGTTTGTGAGCTGTTGAAATTACAGACAGAACCATACCAAAATATTGGATTATTCATTTAATCATTAAAATACAGCACACTGTGTTAGGTCTTGGTTCAATACGTTATTTGCAATAATTTGAATATGTTTTAATAAACATTGAACCAGTCTGGCCCTCGGCTTGTAGCAACATTTTTTTTTTGGCGCTCTGATGTATTTGACTTTGACGCCCCTGATTTAAAATGTGCACGAACAGGGACTTCAACTCTGGACCTGCAGATTAAAAGTCTAGTGCTTTGCCGACGGAGCTATCGAGGCTCTTATTCTTTTCATTTAACCTCCTCCAGTACCTAAACATACAGTGACTCAGCCTCGCATATCCCCAAAGAAATCTCGCATCCTGCCTGAGCCAACATGCCCGTTTTGCTTTATTTTAAGAACAATGTACCGGTCTGTGACGCACCGAAACAGCGCATAGGCCAAGTCTCCTCAGTATGCACGCATGTGGGGGGCATATTAAAAGTTAAAGAGAGTCGGGTTGAGCGGAAGATGAACAGTGGCCGAGAGCACAGACGTACTGTAAAAAGTAGTGCACGAGAACATATAGCGGAGCTGCTGACACCACTGCCTTTACAATTCACACAAACACCACTGCAGGCTTTGAACGCTACATAAAACATGAACGTGCATTATTCATGGTTCTTACCCGTTCTGCCGACTGTGCCGTGCCGAAAAATATGGGAATGAAGGCCAGCCAGATGATGCAGGTGGTGTACATGGTAAATCCAATTGGCTTGGCTTCGTTGAACGTCTCCGGAACGCCTCTGGTCTTGATGGCGTAAACCGTGCACGTGACCATGAGCAGGATGCTGTAGCCCAAGGAGCAGATCAGAGACAGGTCCGAGATATCGCATTTCAGCACACCGCGGGCGCTCCTCGGATCCTGCGTCCTCTGCTCGCCGTAGTCCACGAACGTATGCGGGGGGTCGGCGCTGAACCACACCACGATGCCGAAAAGCTGGACGGAAATCAGCGAGGACGTGATAACCAGCTGCGACGCGGGCGAGATGAATTTGGGAGCAGTTACAGCCTTCTTGCCCTGCTCGAAAATGCGGTGGATGCGGTTTGTTTTGGTCAGCAGCGCCGCGTAGCTGATGCTCATCCCGAGTCCCAGGAAAATCCGTCGGAACGAGCACACCACCACGTCTGGAGCGGCGATCATCGGGAACGTCGTGATGTAGCAAAGGAATATACCGGTTAGCAAGACGTAGCTCATTTCTCGTCCGGCGGCGCGCACGATGGGGGTGTTGTTGAAGCGTATGAAAGTGGCTATGACGAAAGTGGTGGCGATTATTCCCAAAACTGAAATAAAAACCGGGAAAAGAGCCCAAGGGGAGTCCCATTCCAGTTTGATGATGGGGATGTTCTGGCAGCCTGTGCGGTTGTAGTTGGGGCGTTGTTCGTACGGGCACAAGTCACAGGTGAACTCGGTGGACTGGTAGTGGTAGCCTTCGCAGCGCTCGCAGTGCCAGCAGCAGGAGACGCCTTTCACCACCTTCTTGCGCTCGCCGGTGTGACACGGCAGGCTGCACACGGAGGGCGGGAGTGAGAAGTCGCCCGTGGCCCACTGCAGGCTGTCCAGCTGAAACAAAAAAATAACACATTCATATGATTTATATAGCACTTTTTAAAACACTCAAAGACTCTTCACGTGCCTTTATTCTTTCCCTTCATACATGATTGTGATAAATGAGTATTTAAGCCACAGCTGCCCTGGTGCACACTGACAGAAGTGAGGCAACCAGTATGTGCCATCAGCCCTTCAGACCACCACCAACCATCCACACACACCCGACTCATTCTAGGCAACGTGGGTGAAGTGTCTTGCCTAACGTGAATGAACATGAATTAAGTCTATACGTCTGACAATGGCCTGTTGGGGGCGCTGTGACGCAATGGGGTTAATGCCAGACATCAGTGAATGGATTTAATGAGCGTGCTCAGTGGCGAACAAATTTGTGAACAGACTTGAGAATACCCTTAGAATAGCGTTAGTCTGCTAGTAGCTTCAGCAGGACACAAACAACACCATTTATTCTCTGATCTGTTGTTATCAAATTGACAACTTCAGGAAATCCTCCAAGACGACCAAACACTTGAACTCACGACTGCTGAAGTGCGATCGCAGAGACATCAAAAATGTTGGTTGTAGGTCTGAATGCTGCTGCAGCTGTCAAAAGCCGTGCATACACTGTAAAATACAGCAGGACTTGGACTACAGGAGGACCGCAGTCGTCCTCTGAACTAATCACAACGTTGCAGTTTTCTTTTGAATTTCTTTTTATTGTACATAATTATATCCGGGTGACAGTAGCTCAGTTGGTAGAGCATTGGCCTTTGAGCCTCAAGGTCGTGGGTTCGAGCCCACCACCAGACCTCCTTCACAACTCCCACTGATGACTTAACCCCACTTTGCCTGAAGCCCCCTCTGAAAGATCAAGACTCCTGTGGACTCAGCACCTGCGGGAGGATCAGTGAGGGGCTGGTGCTATGTGTACTGGGTGGTATCTCTGGCCACCCCCCTGACCCAGAAATGGATTCAGGGGTAGAAAATGGATGGATAACACTGGGTAACAAAAAAATATATTTTGATAATAGTCCAGGGTTTTCCAGCTGAATTAGACTAATTTTGATGCTCTGAGTCCGAAAATGACCTTGGTTTTGCTCAATCAGGTCAGGATGTTTTGTTACAGAAATATTTTTTTTAATCGATTTTGCGTAAAAAACAAATTTCTGCAGATCATCAGCTGAGAAACACTTGACGTTTTTTCCTTTTTCCTCAAGAAATAAAAGTCAACGTATCCAAAGTCATTCAGTTTTTATTTGACCTGATAGAGCAAAATGCATGTGATATTCGGACTCAGAACACCAAAATTAGTCTAAATCAGTTGATAAACCCCTGACCATTTTTGGGCTGTCAACTTGTGTAATTATATCCTGCATGGACTACATTTTTTAACCTTAACATATTGTACACTTTTTGCACAATCTGAGTGATTCTATCTGTGCCAAATGTGACATGTAAATTTCTCCATAGTGAGATCAACCAAGTCTATCTTATCTTATCTTATCTTAACTGTCATGTTTTACTGTCGGTTATATGCTGTTGTTCATGATGTTGTTGTTGCATGGATGTAGAGCTCGTCCTTACATTCAGATAGAGCTGGTTGGTCCAGTGTCCGATGACCTTGTACTCTGCCACTGAGTAGTTGTTGATCTGATATTGAAAGATGTCATAACGTCCTGGAGCGTCACCGTTCTCGTTGAAAATGACCGGGGTTCCGGCGCTCCCTGGGAATGACAGAACAGACCGAGGAAGTTAGTCTTGAGTTCATCTCGAAACAAAACTAGCTGGAGGATTCAACCCGAGTAAATGAGTCTGTATAAGTCTCTGTCGTCTCTGAAGGAACCATTCTTCTCAATCCTACCTCAGAACAGCTGTTACTCGAGAATACATTTAGAGTAAAGGAATCAATATCAAGTACAACAAATATTTCATTATTGTTTGCACACCCTTTGTTAGACTTTGCATGTTTTTTGTGCCTGTGGTTTCAGCTCATTTTCAGTCTTCATTCGACATTTAACCAAAGCCACTCGCCGCAGTTCCACCTCCTGTCGTCTGTGGATGTTTTTACCTCGACTTTTGTTTTCTCACGTTGTGTTCGCTACGTGTTTATGGCCCCCTCGTCTCGCCGCCTCATCAGATCACAGCTTGTCCACAACATGCACACGCAAACACACACACGCACACACACAAGCTCACACACAAGCTCACACGTACACACAGAAAAAGGCAGAGGGCTGGGGTTTTTTGCCACTATTATTTTTTGGCTGCTCACTTGTCACACTCAAACTTACACACACAAAGGCGAACCCAACGAACGCACACACACAAACTTACACAGACTCACACACCGCACATACACAGGCACAAACACGTTTTTTTTGAATAGCACAGATTCATACACAACTCAAAGTGCTTAACAAGACTGAAACATCAAATGGATTTATAATATTATTTACCGTGCCTTTGTGGAGATGACATTTACGTTAATGGACCTTCAAAGTTCCATGAAAAATCAAAGCCACTTTCTAGATCTGAAGCTTGAGTTTAACTACAGTGGTTGCTTGACTCTAATTCACTACTTCTTTCAAGTTATTTAACCCTATGATATAGGCCTGTACAGCAATGCGGCCAATAATCGACTAAATACAGGTTGTAACTATAGACATTAAGTGAAGGCTGTTGAATATTGCTCATGTATGTGTTTGTATGTATCTATGCACGTGAATATTATACGATGAATGTACTATTTCTGCTTGAAAGAATGAATACATGGGAAAGCTGTTTTGAAAGCGAGGGACCAGGGTTATATATACGACATAGCCTAGTTATCCCAGCTTTAAGTCACACATGTGGCTGAATTCCCTTGCCGGGTTCAGCTCACTCCGGTAAAGGCAAAAGGAGCACAATTTTGATTTTTTTATTTCCGAGGTTAAGAATGCAGAGGTAGAGCACATGTGGCCCCGGTGACGGAAGCATCAGTGCGTAAAGCAAACAGCTGGGCCCCATTCAACCCCTCATCCACTCCCCTCCATCCCCCCCCCCCCCCCCCCCCCCCATCCACTCCCCTCCATCCTCCCCCCCCCCCATCCTCCCTCTGACACTCACACTGTTGCAGAGCGATGTGGACGAGAAGCTGTCGAAACGGAGCAGAGCGGTCGTTATCCTCATCGCCGCTGTCACCGCTGAGCAGGTGAAACGCAGGTCGTGTTTGTTCAGAAACTCCATGTGTCTCAGTCATTAAAGCTGGGGTACTTAACATCACTGCTGCTACTGCTACTGCTACTTTGGCGGCACGGTTGCAAGTCTTGGTGGTGACAGTCCTGGTTCAATCCCACCTCCAGACCTTTCTGTGAGGAGTTTGCATGTTCTACCCGTGTCTGCGTAGGTTTTCTTCCAGGTGCTCCGGTTTCCCCCCTCCACTAAAAACAATAGGTCTGGCATGTGCCTCCTGTATCGATTTTAGTGTCCCTTGTCATCCTGAACTTCTTTCCTTCTTAGATCTTTCAGTTTTCTTTAAATCCACACTTTACTGCCACAAACTCTGCTCGTTTCCTTCCCGCTCTGACTCCGCTCTAACTCTGCTCTGATCAGCAGCTCTGATTGGTCAAAGCGCAGCCGAGCCCCTCTGTGCACATGCATGAGAGCCACACACTCATATTTGGCACAATGCATCATGGGAGCTCGTCCACTGTGCAGAACCGGGACGACCAGGCGATGCCCAAATATACAGTAGGTGAATTCTGCTAATCGTTCGGGCCCCGTGGTGGTACATGCGCAACTGAGCACATGCCATGGATTTTTAATCTTGGATCACCGGGGCTTGCTCTGGTCTGTGAAAGGCGCTATATATAAATAAATATGTACTTACTTACTAGAACTCCCAGACCTGTGCTTTTGACTGCTCCCATTCAAACCTATGAAATTCTAAGAAACCTCCAAAAAAATTTCAGTTTTTCACTAGATTCATTAAAAACACGTAATTCATGACTACTTTTTCTAAACTGATCACAGGAGTGCACACAAGATACAAATGATTTTTTTCTCTGACTTTAAATAAAAGTAACTGTCATGTTATTCTAGAGATTATATGATGTTGTTGGAGTAAACATGCAGCACATGAGAAGCACACTGTAAAAATAAGTATGCACACAATCATCTGCCGTATACCAACATGTATACACACTATCAAGACACTAATTTTAGTCAACATCACTTCATTAACGTTTTGAATAATCCATGATATTCAAAATGATAAAAGATACATTTTCTTGCTAAATGCTGAGGAAACAGAGTGAAATTTCTTGCTCAGGGACAAGTGAGCACCTCGAGCCAAACACATCTTTCATAAACAGGTCTTATGTAACAGCAGCAGCAGAGTCCATGATGCAGATATCACCCGCTTCATCTGAACACACTGTGACGCCAGGTCCATCCAGTTATAGGGCTGCTGAGTGGTTAGCACTCTTCTCAGCAAGAAGGTCCTGGGTTTGAATCATATTTTGTGTATTAGGAGTGTTAGGCTTAATGTGGAAGAAGCCGGGTTGAGCATAAGCTAGTTGGAGCCAATATCCTTATATGTACAGTATGAAGCGTATGTAATTTATTTATATAGCACATTTTTACAGACCAAGGTCACCCAAAGCGCTTTACAATGTTCAGAGTTCAGATATTTTGCCATTCTCTCCACACTGGCATCAAAACCCAAATCAACACCATCCATTCACTCACTCGTTACATTCATGCCTATTGTGCATGTTTTTGGTGGTAAGAGAAACCGGAGCATCCAAAGGAAACCGGAGCACCCGGAGGAAATCAGAGTACCTGGAGGAGACCTAAGCAGACACGGGGAGAACATGCAACTCCACTCAGAAAGGCCCTGTTCCGAGTGCCAGCCACCGTGTCGCCCCAATGGGAAGGTACGGTTGCTAACGTGGTTTCTAAGACGTGCTGGAGTTTCCTTCAGTCCTTATATGGTTCATGTTTGTTCATTGTTTATTTGGTTGGGACAGTGCGTTTATAATATACTGTACACACCTCTCTGGATTATAGACTTGGACTGATTTGCATCTTTTCTGTGTTTTTCACAGTTACAGTCACAAACACACACTCATTCTCCCTAAACCATTTCACAGGGAAAGGGTAAACCGAAGCATCCTGAGGCACCTCTGCCGACACAGGGAGAACATGCAAACTCCACTCGAAAAAGCCCAGTCTGGAGGTGGAGTTGAACCAAACTCTAACCTGCGCTAACCACTGCATCACTGGATTTACAAAGTTATTATTAAAATATTAACACCAGGATTGCAGAGAGCGCTTAACCACCATCTTATATAACCGTGTCTCAGCGATGACACAAAACTAAACAAAACAACCACAAATATGTATGAGTAGAAACTTATATTTTGGCTACATCCTGTTTTCTTCTCACACTTGAAAATTGCAATTCAGGCATCTCCCCATTCATTTGCATAAGAATATCTCCAATTATAGATAAAGCAGCTGATTCTAAAAAGCAATTTATTTCCCCCTCTCTTTTAAACACTCACATCCTTAGCTACTTTTAAGTTTAAACATTATCCACATTTGCATGCCATTAAAGTGCGCACAAATACGTCCCAATCTCTGAGCTCCGTTATCGTTTTCAGCGCCGCTCCGGGCTCAAACCAACACCGAGAGGAAGTTGACGCGGATTACTTTGACACAGAAGAAGCAAAAACGGTGGAAGCTCCGAGTGGAAGAAAAAAACAGATTTCTGAAACGAGAGGAGTGGGCGACGGTTTGATTCTGTCCTGATTTGCGTGTGTGGCGCATAAAGCAGAGGCTGAATCACCGGCGCAGCCTCGGGACACGCGAACGCCCCATTTTATGTGTCGCTACACGCTACGCATTTATGAGCACAAGCTAAAGCCGGTTCAGGACGTCAGCCAATGCAAGGGAGAGTAGACAAACCTGGGATTATGTACGACACGTGTATGCAGATCTGTGGAGACCCCTGCTGGACAAGTATAGTAGCTTTAGCACTAGCAAAGTCAGAATAAGATTTTTTTTTCATTGCTCTCTGTGAGAAACAGGAAGTCACAAACAAGAAAATGGCATCGGCTGTCAGTGTAAACAAAGTGAAAATATAAATAACCATGAATCGAGAAAAAAATATTGATATTTCTTTAATTTACAACTATATACAAGTGCACTCTTTTACTTCATCTGTCAATCATTGAGATTTCAGCTGTAGTTTGTTCATTGCTATTAAGTCGGTGTCTGTGGACTGTCCCCCTCAGTCCTGGATTTTCTGCCTGAAGTCCCATTCTGTGGACTTTTTGGTTTTATATCTGTTCTCTTGTAGTGTGTGTCTACTGTATTTTGATTGATTTTGTGCGTCGCCCTGATGTGTTTCACCTGTGTCTCCCTGTGTGTATTCATTCCCTGTGCCTTTCTTCACTTGTTGACCGTTCATTGTCTATACCACGTTTGTCCCTGGCTTGTTTTTGGTTCTGGATATTTGTATTTTGCGCATACCCTGGCTTTATTTGACTAAACTACACTTCATTTTCAGTCCTGCATTTTTGGTTCCTTTTTCATTTCACCACATGACAGGATCCCTCTCTCAACATGGGCCTACCTAAAGTTTTTCACTTTTTTTCATTGTTTCTTTTTTTCAGTCGTTATTAACCCTTTAATGGTTTCCTTGACCATTTCGTGGATCACTTTTTGAGACACTAAATCT